TATTTTTACAGGAAATGGTTGCTGGTTTTAAATTTTTTTTTTCTATATTTTTCAGCAAATTTTCCATTTTTACTGAAGCCTTTGTAACTGGGGAGGGAGGTGCAGGGGGGTGGTTGTGGGGGGGGGCAGTTTGGGAAGAACAAGAAATTTAACTTGTAGAAGCCAAATTTATACCTCTACAGCTAATGTCAAGAATTATTTTGGTTAGAAAATTCATTTTTGCATCAATTTTCTTCTTCTTCAATAACATATAAGAACAAAAGATGCTTTAAATTTATTTTCATTTTTGTGTAAATTTTTGTGTATAAAAACAACAGTGCTTTAATATGGTTCTTTTTTCCCAATACTCAAGAAACAGCAATTCTCTGATAGGGGATTATTGTTTCTAGGAAGTTTGTGGTTCCCCAAATATTAATAGGTATATAATAAACATATTTGTGGATTTGTGGTAACCAGTCTTTACGCTCACTTTACTTTTTTCAACAGCAAAACTTGTTTTATGGTTATAAATGGCTTTTTTTTTGTATATTTTCTTAAAAAGAACTATTGATATTACTGTTTTGGAATTTGATTAGCATATAATAATTCCTGATTTATATCAAATCAACAGGAGTGGTATTTATAATGTAGCTTGCGCTTTCCACTGCTCAATCAAACCGAGCCTGCAGTATCTCATATTTTGCCATATTGGGCGACATTTAGGGTTTTGTCTTTTAAACACCAAACAGTGCATTTGTTTTAAATATTTATATAGATAATTTCTTTAAGGCATACATAATTATGGGCAAAACATCATTTTAAAACTTTAACTTCTATTAGGATCCCAAAAATTTAACCTAAAGAATACCCCTGTTTTGGCAACTAAAATTTAAGGGTAATCATTTCACAAAAAAATTTCTAGTTTTTCTTTCAAAAAATTTTATTACCTGGGGGGTTTAGGTTCACAAAACCATATAATTCCCCGGGAGATTAAAAACGGGGGTTTCCCCGATGGTTTAAATTGGGGTACAACAGCTGTCTCTTCTTCCCAGCACCAAGAAAAAAATAAAAGCTGCCGTTTTTCCCCCGGTTTTTTCCTTATTAAAAAATAAACATTATTCTTTTTTACAAAAAACCGGATTTTTAATTAAAAAAAACATGCTTGCAGTTTTTAAAATGCCTCTATAATTAAATAATTAAAAAAAAGTTTAAGAATGAATTTAATTTTTCACCCAGAAGCCTAAACATTTTTAAGTCGCTTTTCTTTTTTGCCTTCATCCCTACCAATTAAAGGCGTTCTAACTTTTTCCGCTGTGTGGGAAAAGGAAGGAGAGTCTATTTAAATTCCTCGTTTTTCCCTTTCCAAACAGACGTATCTTAAAACGATAAATATTCCCGGGGTTTTAAACGGATCATTTTTTAAAATTTTTGCTTATCAAAATGGGAAAATTTAAAAAAAAATCTTGAATTTTTATTTTTACTACCATTTATACACCAGTCAACTGTTAACCTAGCCTTCCCTACCCCTGTAAAACTTCTTGACTGTCTGAAAAATGCCCTAGTACAACTTTTGGTTAATCCCACCTGATCTTAAAATCTTTACAAATCATGATGCCAAAAAAAAATGCTGCTGCATCAGGAAATGCCCCCATTCTATTCCCCCCATTACTATCTTATCTTGTCAAGCTTTTGTTTCATCAATTTCTCATCACTAAACATACAACATGATCTAAATACCTTTAAGGACTTGTCCATCTTTGAATCTGGACCAAACCATAGATCATTTTTAAGGAAAATTTCAAAATATGTAACAACTGAATACCTGAATTCCAAGATAAATATGTACAGACTAAATATTGAGAACAGTGCAGACCATGATCAGATGGCATGAATGTGCTGGTTTATTTTGGTCTGCACTGTGGTCATATTTATAGATTCAGTCATGCCAGCAGTCTAAGAATAAAAAATCTTTTGATATAAATAAAACTCATGCACATAGAAAAGCAAAAAAAATCATAATGGCTCCACCTTAGTAATATAATTTCACTGAAGATATTTTTCCCTATGAAAATAGTGGTTATCTTCCAAAATCTACATAAAACAGAAGCTTCTTGTTTTTAAATTACACAGCAACACAATAGGCCATCTGCTTTTTAGTACATTTTCATGATTATCATGATGCCATGAAATTCATTCTTCCCTGAATTTTTAACATGGCATAACTCTTAGGTAATACCTTCCTGTTTATATACACTTTAATGTCAGGATTATAAAACAATACTGATTTGTTTTGTACCAATACTGTTTTGTTGTTTATTAATACTGTTTAACCCTTTCCCCCATGAGCATATTGTGAAAAATGGCCGTTTTCACTGAAAAGCCTCCTGTTACAAGTTCAAACTGCTATGAAACTATGAAAAATGCTCCAATACTAATCAAACTTGGCACAAATGTTGACTGGACCATTGCCTTTGTAACGACATGCTCCGTCTTAAATTTCCTGTTACCATGGCAACGAGGGGACATCTCAAAATTGCCAAAAATCACTATTTTGCCTCGATTTTTTCCATCAAAATTTATTTCAAAGTGCAGCAACTACTCAAGGGATTGAGATAGAGTCAAAGGCTTTTCAGCGTTGGTTAAACGTTACATTATGATCGACCTGGGGTCATTTTTAGCCTCTCACAAGTCCAAAATTTTCTTGGGGATGAGGGGGACTCCGCCCCCCTTCAGCAACATTTCTCAAACGAAAACTTATGTTTGGGGCCCAAATAGGACATTTTTTCACTATTTGAGGCCTAAAAAAGGGGGGGGGGTCGAAAGTGCGTTGTTTCGCGTATATATGTGGTAAAGGGGTAATATGGTCCTATATACTGTTTTTCCTTTCCTAAAAAAAATTTGCATGCAAATATGCTTTAACACACTTTTTTTTCGTCGTACATCAATACTGTTTTTTTTTTGTACATCAATAATGTTTTTTTGTATTGTTGTACATCAATAGACTGTCTTGTTGTACAACAATACTGTTTTGTTGTACATCAGTACTGATTTGTTGTACATCAAAACTGATTTGTTGTACAACAATACTGATTTGTTGTACATCGATTCTGATTTGTTGTACATCAATACTGATTTGTTGTACATCAATACTGATTTGTTGTACATCAATACTGATTTGTTGTACATCAATACTGTCTTGTTGTACATAAATACTGTTTTGTTGTACATCAATACTGTTTTGTTGTACATCAATACTGTTTTGTTGTACATCAATACTGTTGTGCATTTATACTGTCTTGTTGTACATTAATTCTGTCTTGCTGTACAACAATACTGATTTGTTGTACATCAATACTGTTTTGTTGTACATCAATACTGTTTTGTTGTACATCAATACTGTTGTGCATTTATACTGTCTTGTTGTACATTAATTCTGTCTTGCTGTACATCATTACTGATTTGTTGTACATCAATTCTGATTTGTTGTTCATCAATACTGTTTTGTTGTACATCAATACTGTTTTGTTGTACATCAATACTGTTGTGCATTTATACTGTCTTGTTGTACATTAATTCTGTCTTGCTGTACAACAATACTGATTTGCTGTACATCAATACTGTTTTGTTGTACATCAATACTGTTTTGTTGTACATCAATACTGATTTGTTCTATATATTTTGTTTAATATCATTAATGCTGTTTTGTTGTTTATCAATACTGTTTTGTTTTGTATCAATAGATGTCATTTGTAATTTTGTGAGTATTTGAATGTGCTATCAAAAATAAGCATATTGACTTTTGACCCATCAGATACACCATACAAATCTTTATACATGTATAATGCAGCCATATAAAATGTGTGTAAGTTAACAATTTTGACCCACTGTGTACACCATACTAATCTTATTAAAGCATCCTACTGACCTACAATGTATGCCATATTGAATTGATACAAATCATGTAAAAAGAGCAGCAACAAGATGAGTTTTCATTTTCTGAATAATTTTTGAATCACTACAGCATTATAGAATGAAACAATGCAGATGGATGTACTATTTCTTCCAGGCAGAAATCCTGTCTGTGTATTAATATCTGAAGGGCAAAAAAAAAATAGTTCTGCTTTTTTCTTTTTAACTTTGATGTCAGAAGAAAAACCAGATGTAATGTTTTTATCTGGTGTTATCTTGTATGCCTTTTTCTATAATGTAAATATGTAATGTAAGGCTAGTAAAGTAACAAAAACATAATGTATTATATATAGAGAAAAGAGCCTCTCTTTTTATATAATGATTAAACTCTTATTGATAATGTGTGTTTAATATCATTAATCTGTAACAAAAATTAATTTTTAATCATGATCAGAAAACATTTTTACCCTTAACCAGGGTTTTCATTTTTATCCGAGAATACAGAAAACAACAGATTTGGCCAAGGGTAAAGGGGGATATTTAATTCTACTTAATGACAGTATTTTAACTGATGTTCTGGATCACCAATTTGTAAAATAATGAAAACCCTATTTATCATAAAATGGATCTGCCCTCCTTTGAATATGGAACAGTCTATATAAAAACAAGTAGAGATTTTGATGCTAAAGCATCAAGTCGCCGGATAGAAAATGACTGTATTATCATAAATATAAAATAATCAGTTTAATTAATGGTTCAGGTATAAAGAAAAGAGGAACAATTTATGTTGAGTAACTGTTTATTCACAATAAAACATCATATATGAAGCAAACTTGCTTAGCAATATTGTACAGGAACTGCTATGATTATTAAGGTGACAACAGACACTTTCCGTGGTACTCACATAAATGTCATTTAAACCAACTTATTTTAGTAATAATTGTTATTCATTTAATCTTTGTGCATTAAATGTCGTTGATCATCATAAAAAATAACATATTTGAAAATAATGCCTTTATAAATGATTGATTTTGAATAAAAATCCTAAAATTTTAAATCGTCATATCAAAGTCATTTTTTATTTTTTTGTCATCAAACTTTTGGAAAATAACCATACTTATATTATCTGGGGAACCCTGTCTCAAATTTTTTATATCTTTTCTCAAAAAAATATTACGTAACGTCAAACATTTTATGCGACTTTTTTCACCATACATATTACGTAATTAAAGATAATTAAGTCGCTGATTGAGTAAACAAAAATCCCTGACACGGTTCCCTCCGTAAATGAATTTCCTTTCATGTGCTTTAAACCGCATGTTAATTGCTTGATTATTAAAAAAGTTATGCCGATTCAAAGTAAGTCCGACCCGCATCAAACGAAGTGTCATAAATCGGCTGTTCTCTCTCGGACCCCTACGTTTCACGCTAAATAATTGCATAATACACAAATATCGCACCAGAGAGGGTCACAAGTTGCGGTAACATACTCTAACAACATTTTATGACCCAGTGACATCTGACCAATTAAAAAGCTGCTGATTAATATCAGTTTATAGCCGAAATTTCTTCAATTCTTAACGTGATTTACTGTACGTCTGGTATCTGTCGCACATGTCACGTGACTATCGGTAAAATTTGAGGCACTCAGTGGGGGCAAATGGAAAGCATTCGCGCACCGCTAGCGGGGAATTTAATTGTTTCCTATTTGAAGTTTATTATTATTATCATCAGCATTATTATTGTATTATACCAGTGTCACTCTGCCTGTGTATTCGTGTATGAAATTCCGTTAAAATGTAAAACAAAATAACAAAAAACTGAGCTTCTGACAGTCTTTTAAAGTCCATAGTAGATGTACAAATAAGAACGGGATAGTATATATTTTTTCCACCAAATTGATAATGCTTCACATATTTTAATAGAATTAAAAGGTATTACTCGATCATTATGATGTGGCCTTCTTGACTTCTATTATCATGAATATCATCTATGCACGGCATAGAGATCCAGTTTCTTCCGGGATAGACGATAAATTTCATACTTTGTCCCAGATTTATTAGTACTGTGTCGGATTTACTGGCGAACAATTTATTTTCACTGAGAATATATTTTAATATCTTTTTTTATTCATAGAGAAATAATCATCCTTAGACAATCTAAAATGGTTTAGAAATTTGTCAGGGACACCTTACCACAAGTCATATAAGCGTTCACATAAAAAATGTCGTCTGTTGTTGTTTTACTTGACATTGTTAGAAAACGAGGTTGAATGTAAAGTAAGTCCTTGAATCCGTACAAAAGTCTATCAACTCAATGTAATATATATCATATTAACGGGACAGACAAATTATTTTCACACATTATGGATATTTTAGCAACTACATTTTTAATCAACCCCGTGGTCGTGCGATTTGCCGCTATGCTTAATTATTTATGTTTCATACATTATGTTACGTACATTGGCCGACAATTTCTTAATTTATAAAAAAGGCTAAATGTTGAGATATTCATAAAAGATGTACGGTAGATGAACGATACATGTATTACGAGAAGTATGGACCAGTATGGACCTGTAGTTCACGGATATATGGAACTACCGATTTCCCTCATTGATGCCTCAACAGGGGGCGGAGCGTTATCGATAATCGACAGGTTACGCGAATAGCAGATACAAATAGTATAGGTACCGTTTTAAATCGCTTAAAAACACATTTTTTGGACTAACTGCTTCCAAAATTAAATCACGAATGTGTTCAGAAAAGGTTGATAAATCTACTTAGCAAAAAATCTCATTTTAGGTATTTTCAGTGATAATTGACTCCGTTGTCACCTTAAGGAACTGCTATGATTACTAAGCAAGTATTTCGTATGTTAGTTTACGTAACTTATTATGATTTATGCTAAAGATATTATAGATCTCGATATTAAATTAATTTATATTGCTCAATGGCCTACAGGTGGTAAGTATGGGACGAAGTTGTGACCTAGTAGGCCAAATTCGAATCTTTGAAAATCCCTTTTGCAGTTTTCATAAAACTATTTTTTTGCGCTATCGAATAAGCTATTTAGTTGAAATTATTACATACGATATATAGTTAACGTTTAATTGCCTTTCAGTTCGATAAAATATTAACAAAAAGATATTTTATTAGTTTTCATTATTATGTGTTGTACCGTTTTCATAACCTGCAAGATGGAAATCGACGGAAAATAACGAAGACGATGATTACCACTATTTATTTCAATAATAATCTTTAGCATAAATCTATTTTGTGATGTTCAACCTAAACTGAACTATTGAACGTTGACAGAAAGGGCAAAATTTAACCCTTTACCAAGATAAAATGAAAAGGTTTTGAAAATTTATTTAATTCTTTAATGTACTAATCCTTTCTAATGACATAAAATATGAAACTGATTAATGAAAGATAACTTTGTAATTATTTATACATTTGCATCTAATTAGCCCCCATACCGTTTTCCAATATCAGCAATCTGTTACTATTAATAGATTCTATAACACTAACATACAACGTGTAGTCATGTGATTCTTACAATAGAACAGGGAGAATCTGTTTATAACTAGAACTGCCACTATCATGGCGTGAATACCCCCGCATACCACTTTGTCAGAATCAACAGTGGCCATTTAAAGCTCAAGGACAACCTCCATGCCAAATCTGAGGTTACTAAGCCAGTGCATTGCTAAGTTATGTATTCTACATGCTTCAAATGTGAAAATGTCAAAATCAATACATTGCGGACAGGACATTCTTTAGCAATTGAGAAGAAAAGTTTTTTTTTGTCAAGGTCCCTGTGACCTTTACCTTTGACCCAGTGACCTTAAAATCAATAGGGGTCACCTTATAGTCATGATCAACATCCATACCAAATATGAAGACTGCGGGTCAAAGGAATCTTAAGTTAATGGGTGGACAAACTTTTTGAAGTCAAAGTCCCTATGACCTTGACTTTTGATCCAGTGACCTCAAAATCAATAGGGGTCATCTACTAATCATGATCAACATCCATGTCAAATATGAAGACTGTGGGTCAAAGGAATCTAAAGTTATTGGGCAGACAAAGTTTTTGAAGTCAAAGTCCCTGTGACCTTGACCTTTGAACTGGTGACCTCAAAATCAATAGGGGTCATCTACTTATCATGACTAACCTCCATGCCAAATATGACGACTGTAGGTCAAAGGAATCTTAAGTTATTGGGCAGACAAGCTTTTTGAAGTCAAGGCCCCTGTGACCTTGACCTTTGACCTGGTGACCTCAAAATCAATAGGGGTCATCTACTAATCATGACTAACCTCCATGCCAAATATGAAGACTGTGGGTCAAAGGAATCTTAAGTTATTGGACAGACAAGCTTTTTGAAGTCAAGGCCCCTGTGACCTTGACCTTTGACCTAGTGACCTCAAAATCAATAGGGGTCATCTACTAATCATGACTAACCTCCATGCCAAATATGAAGACTAAGGGTCAAAGGAATCTTAAGTTATTGGGCGGACAAGAAAAAACCGACGGCCGGACGCACGGACGGCCGGACGCACGGACAAGCTGATTCCAGTATACCCCCCTTACAACTTTGTTGTGCGGGGGTATAATTAGATAAAATAATGAAGTATAATAGGTGTCATAAGATATAAACAACCAGATGATTTAAATGTGTCATTTTAAATATCATTCATGATTTATCAATCATAAAATAGCAACGCTTGACACTTAGAAAAAAGTAAAAGTATCCCTAAATTCAATGACTGGTCCATAGGGATACGTTATTAATTCATTTTATGAAAATTGTAATGTTGCTTTTTAAGATGTCGATATTTGTATATTTCATTTCATTTAGCAACGTTAATTTATTTTTGAATTTTTAAGATTCTGAAAAATAATTGTTGTCCTTAATTGTTCAGTAATTGATTTGCTTTTATTTTCAGATTTTAAGGGCTTCTCCTACCATAGGTATAATATTAAACTGTTACAGATATAGTCGCCGGTTTCCACCGGCGACTAATTAAGGGATTTGGATACCAAAATACAAAAACAAATTGCTACTAACAGTACACAGCTTGGTCTGACTGCACAGACATGCAAGTCGGACTGCCTATATAATGGTGGCAAAGGCTTAATGACTTTTTATTCCAGGAAATTAAGGGCTTCAATTTAGTTTTAACATATTTATCTTGCAACTTATATTAATCACTTTCAAGTCCCCTGCTTGGAACCAACCAGTACTGGTGTCTAAGGGTTTAAATCTCTAAAATTAACAATTTAAAGCAAGAAAAGTCCATTTTATATATAAAACCATGCTTTAACATTTTTAACCACTTTGCAAATATTTGGATAAATCCATTCAGACAACTGCAACAGGCAGTGAGATTCTCCTTAAAGTGTGTTAAATAGTTTTCCAGCAAGCACCCAGACATCATTATCCCATCGGAATACAAAAAGTATGACAGCAATTTTTTGGCTGTCTACATTCCTCCTCATTACTCCTCCTTATCGCACTTTTTGCTACAAGACATCACATTTTGCACTTAGCTGAGAATAAAGAAATATGCACCTAACATAAATCATTAATTTCAATGATATATTAGGATAATCAGTATCAACTGAAACAGCATTTTTTACTGAAGAAAATTAAATCCTATGTATGAGGTAGTTTAGATTAATTTTACCTATGAGAAATCTGAGTCCCCATCCCCCCTGCCCCCCCAAACAAATAAGGACTAGGCCCAATATCAAATTTTTTTCATACTAAATGATATCCCTCTCATAGCCAGCAACAAGGTCAGGCCCATAAAATACACTTTAGAACCAGTCAAAGCACAAATAATGCTTCAGACAACATACTACTGGTTGCTTAATCAAACCCTATTGATACCATAATCACTACACTCAACTTTGGTTAAGTTTTAAATTCATGGTAAAAAGTCCAGGATATACCTTTGGAAGTTACAAACTTGTGTAAGCTATAGAGATAGAAAAATCACAAATAAAAAGACAATTTTCCATAACACTTACCATTTTGTAGAATCACAAATCTTGTCAAACTTGCAGCCACAGGGTCTCCAACAACCTGAACTGTTACATTGTCTAGGGCAGCATATATCTGCACATGTACTGTCTTCGATATTTCCGAGATGTAATTATACCCGTACACATTCACCTCGTGGGTGCCGATACGGTTAAACACATGTTTGGCTTTTCCGTAGCAGAGTCGTTCAATACAGTTATTCACTTCATTGTTTTCTCTACCGTATCCAAAATCAAAGTCAAATTCAACTCTTAAGTCGTACGATCCGCAACATTTGGGTTGATATATTCCCACTATTTCTGTCACATTTCCGAGCAAGTTTGGTGACTCTTTTAACACGTTGATATTCTTAATTGGGTTTTGCACATGTACCGGAGATACAACCTCGTAATAATCTTTACTTACATTATTTATCGCATGCAGGGAAATGTCGTATATTCCAGATCTTTTAAAAACGTGCCGTACCACTGAAGTATGGTTTTCAAATTGAGTGTACGTATTTGTTTCAATACCTTCTATATACCAGTGGAACTCAATATCCGAGCCTCTCTCAACCTTTGCCATGCACATCAACTCGGCCCCAATTGGAATAAATTCTCTAGTACATGAAGCAATTAAACCCTCGATTGGACACTGAACAAAAATATTGAAACTTGCCTCGGCAGTACTTACAGCATTCCTCACTCCGGCCGTGATCAAGTAAGCTCCAACTTGTTGGAACATAAAAACCAAACTTGTATCCTGTATCTCCTTTTCAAACACAAGTACCAAGTCATTATTATTCTCGTTCACATCACTCGCAGGAATTTCATCGTTATTCTCATAATCATCTGGATACGTTTCTTCACTGTAATCATTAAAGTCATCAGAAATTCTGTAAATATGCCAATGCACCGATACATTTAAAGCCGAAGGTATCAATAAATTCATTTCAACCAGATGATTACATCTGGCGATACGTGATGTATGAATCCGAGCCCCAGTAATCTTAGACAGAACTAAAATATTCCTACTCAATTTGTCAGATAAATCTGCATTAACGTCATCTAAATGATCGCTTCTGGTTTCCCCGTCACCCACTATATTGTCATGTTTTGCGTCTCTTGAATACTCATAAAATTCTGCAAAGATATCCAATTCTGTATGCACCCTTTGATCACGTACTTTACTAATCTTTGCATTTCCATCAACCAAACCGTTCACTTGTTTATCAAGAATGTTGTCTATGTCTTTATCTTCAAACACAGCAACACTTGGTTTGTATAATCCTTCTGTTCTATATGTATAATAAAACTCCAATTGCAGCTTACAGCCCTCTCCATAGCTTGCTATTATTTCCATATCTTTGCCATCCCCTACAAGAACCAGTCTCGGTGACATTGTGTCGGCAAGAGACACCGTGTTACTATGGTGATCGCCATACCAGACCCGCAACGACCTGTTGCTTCTTGAAGTAGTTATAAGTGACACTAAAAAATGCACTGGTTGACCTACAGCAACTAGGTGACTGGAATCTGGGTCAAGGTCAATGGTCAGGTTGCTAAGCTGTCTCGGAATGACTACCTGCAGGTAAAGGAAAACATAATAAGACAAGGGTTTCATAAATATTGAACCTTCACAACATTTATAAAAAGTATTCAATTCGATCAATCAACTGATGTTCCTTAACATTTCCGAAAAGAATTTAATGCAATCAATCAGCTTATTTCAAAATCAACAAACAAAAAATAAAATGATGGAAAAAGGGTGGGCAAGTGAGAGAAGTTGCAAATTACTTTATCTCTCATGATCAGATTCAACCAATACCAAGTCTGCAATATTCATATATTATTTTATTGTTATAAGCATTGCTTCAGAGAGATCATCCCTTTTCCAGATTTTTATAACTTTTTTTGTTTAGGTTAGTAACATGTAGATCTAAGCTGTCAAATCAATGCCCCAATCATCAAACATAGCTTTTCTGAACACATTTCCTACAATTATTAACATTGTTTACTGCAAATGATTGATAACTTCACTGCATGGATCATTTGAATAAGCAATGAAGTATGTATGAAATTCTGACATCACCTCAGCCAGGAAAAACATGATCAGGTTTTCCTACCTGGCTGGAAAACCAAGAAAGCTGCAAATTCAGACAAAAAGGTAAAAAAATCAGACAAAAAGGTAAAAAACTCAGTCTTAAAGGTCAAGTAATCAGCCTTAAAGGTCAAGCCATCAGCCAAAAACATCAACATCTTTAAAACCCTGCTCAATTTGTCAAATTGAGTTGCCATGTGCAAATTTTTTTAAATTGTCCACTTTTAGTTAAAAGTATTTCCATTATAAAGTTGCCAACAGAATCATTTTATCATAGGTCGATTGTTGATGCAAGAAGTAACTGTATGCATATTCTATTTGAGAGTATTAACATTTTGGATTAAAAACCTGTTTTTCTTTTTATTTTTTCAAAGTGGAAAGTAGTACAATGGTTTAAGAAGATACATTTCTTTCATTTCACATTTGCTGATAAAATATTTAGAAAATTTTCAGACAAAAATACAAGTTTTCATAGTAAATGTATTACATATTTTATTTGAGAGTATTAACATTTTGGATTTAAAACCTGTTTTGTGGGGTTTTTTTTGTTTTGTTTTTTTCGCTTTTTTTTTTCAAAGTGGAAAATAATACAAGTGTTTAAGGTAAATAAACACTCTTTTCATTTCACATTCACTAATAAAATATTTAAATTTTTCAGGAGGTTTCCATAGACACAGTTACAAAACAGTTACAAATACAAACTCTTTATCTAAGGAATGCTGTACTGCTAGCATAATTATCGTTTTGCTTTTGTTTCTTCACAGAAAAACTTGCATGCTGGAAATTCTTGGCAATATGAAACATGTTTAAATTCTCATCCCGGCTAAATCAGATAAGACTCCCTGTCATTAAACTATATCAGCAATAATTTCAATTCTAATAAATCACACAATCAAAGTTCACTAACTGATACACGATATCTTCCTGTTTTACATGGTACAGTATTTCCCTAAATAAATGAGCTGTGTTTTTCACATCTTTTTTGAAAGTACAGGAAGTGTAATCCTCAAAATCAAAATTCTTAAATTCTAGAGATACTGAAGACAACTATTTAAGATTAAAGCATTTCCATATTGTTCATTTCTTTTTCTTATTTTTTAAAAGACTCCACCAAGTTGTTTTTGGCATTACAGATTGGAAATAATTTCTCAAGATTTCTGTTTCATTTGAAGTAGACCGAAACCTGTAACTTTTGTACAAAGTTTCAGATCATTAGCTCTCATCTTTTTTTTAAAAAAAATTATCTAAATTGTGAAAAATAACCAGATATTGAAAACCACTGCAATGCTTTTTACTCAAATCAGACTAACAATAGCACAAAAGTATGATTTTCAAATTATTTTGAGTACATTTATTAATTATCTTTTGCATATCTTTTTGTTTAATGTGCCCAAGCTGATCTATGTAATAAATAGTTTTTTATGTGTTCAGTGTTTTGGACCTCAGTGGTGTTCCTTTAACACCGATTTCAACACATTTCTTTGTCATATCTTAGCAGTTGATCAATCTAACGTGTTTTCGAAGATATCTAACAAATAATTAACCACGATTTCTCCAAAAGTGACCAACTATCAATCAAACATGATTTCAAGAATCAACAGTGACAGACAAATGACAAGAAACTCAATATCCAAGATCAACCGTCATGGAGATATACCGCCTCCTCACAAGGATCAAACTAGCAACCCTGGATTACTAATATATACCTCTCCCTATCCAGTTACTCAGGTGAACTTAACTTAAGTGCCTCTATATGGAATTGTTGTTGTTATCTTAATAAACGACGTAAATAGATCACTTTTACATGTATTTCTGTTTAATAATTAAATGAGAAACTCATTTTCATGTGGAGTTTTTTATGTAAAGTATTTCCTTCTAAATAATTATCAGAATTAAAATTTATAAACAATTTATAGAGAATGAAGAAAATATTAAAATTGTATTTTCTATCTTATTTAAAGGGACTGGTTTTTGTACCATGATGAAATAAGTTTTTTCAAGACCATTTTATGAAGGTCTATAGCAATAACTTGTGCAAAAAATTTCATATTATTTGCTTACTCTGCCAGACTAATCATTTTTATTACACAAAATGACCTAAAATGAAAAGCATTTCCATGCTTTTAACTCCAAATCTGGCTTTTTTTTCCTGTGTATCTCTTTCATAAAAAGTGCCAACTCCAAATCTGGCTAAGCGCTTTTTTCCTGTGTATCTTTTTCATAAAAACTGCCCAAGTTGAACTATGTAAGATTGGACCTTAGTGGATTTCTTTTCAGCCCTAACACTACATTACATTGCATTACAATGTAATAGTTAGTTTGGATACAAAATAATAAATGGATTTTTTTTTTAAATTTGCTTTTTATATACACATGGTTTTCACTGAATTATAACAATCAGTTTTTTTGCTGTTGCACAAACATTAAAGTTTGTAGGCGTAGTGGTGTAAACAGGTTATTTTCAGCATATTTGCAGCACATGCATCCTGTTTAAAGTGTGTTCAAGTTGGCAGATGCAATGTGTTACCAAATTTAATCACTGATTTCCAGCTACCAACAGCTGTTATCAATAGCCTGAAATTTCTTCTTGATTTCAAAAACTTTTTTTTAACTGATTACAGGGTTTAAAGTAACTAAATCTTCACCTAATTGGCAAAGAATATCTCTCTCTCTCAAAAAACTACCAAAGATCACAGTTCAGGCAAGAAAAGTACAAAACTCAACTTTTTCAGGCTTGTTCTGAGCACACGCCTCCAGATTTCTGTAAATCTTTATCAAAGTTTAAAAAAAAAAAACAATGTAAATTAGTAAAAGAAAATTGTAAATACTTCGAAATTAAGTGTTTCCAAAGAGAAAATATCTACAGAAACTACCTATAACATGTCAGAATGTTCAGGAAAGTACCTTGTATTCCATTTACAATACGGAAAAAACAGATATTATTGTCATCTTTTTTCCCTCCAATCATCAGTTTGAACATATTTCTGAAACTTTTGCAGAAAGTTTCCAATAAATGGTAAATACATGCATCTTGAATGAACTTGTCCATCTTTAACTCTGGACAAAACCATTCATCTTTTCTAGGGATAATTTCAAAATAAGTGCTGACAGAGCAGCAAACAGTGCAGACCATGATCAGACAGCAAGAGTTTGGGTAAACCTGTTGTCCACAGCAGACTGAAAGTCAAGTAAATTGTGCCACTAACTGTTCAAAACATAAGCAAAATTTCTTAACTCTATGTTTCTAATTGTGTATGTCTTGGCACAGTTGCAAGTTGAAAATTTGGAAAAACCTAAAATCTGTAATTCATAATCATTTTCCTACATAATCTAATAGTTAAACATGATGAAATTTGTCACAAAAACCTGGCCCCGTGTTCACAAAGATTTTAGGATCAGGATCAAGATCAGGATCAAATCTAAAAACTCAAATATTATCCATTGTTAATTCTTATAGATTAGATATTTAATATTAACATGATAAAACTGGACTTGAAATAGCATGTTTTTGAAATTAAAGAATAAATTTATTGTAATTTTTGAAAGATATGGGTATTTTACAGTTAATCCAAATATTGATCTTGATCCTAAAATTGATCCTTATTTTGATCCCATTATTTTTGAATTTGTTTCGTTATTTGTCTATTTTATCCCAAAACAGGATTGTTTCTTTGCAAATCAGCAAAATATTACATTAACTTTATGTACCATTCAATTCTAGCAAAATACAATCAATATTAGTTATATAAAACAAAGAAAATAAAATCAGGATTACTTGATCCTGATCCTGATCTTTTCTTTGTGAACACGGGGCCTGAGCTTCGGGCATATGCCTGAAACTTTGCACCCATCCTGATGTTTTGTTGAATTTCAAATCAAGGTCATATGACAACTTCAAAACTTTACTGGAGGAGGAAGTACTCAGGGGGCTCCTTGATGTATTATTTTAGTCATGAATAGAGCCACCAACCTGTCGTAAGCTAGTTGGATAGCTACCTCAAATGAACAAATTTTAAGTCCTTTGAAGGACACAGTTGTGAGTAGCAAATGTTTTGAAGACTGCAACTGTAACCATTTGGCAACAGAGGCCCTTTTGACTTCAGTTATGTTTAAGAACTTAAATGCACTTTCAAGCCTGACACAATCCACAGAACGACATCTGCATTATCATTACAATAAGTAGCATAAAAACTTTTGTTTCCTGAAAAAAAAAATATAAAGAAAGTCCACTTACAAAGGTAGTGTACTTCTCTAGATGGCCATATACATTGTCAACAGATGTCTGCATCTTGAATGTCCCCATCATTTTAAACATATGCTCCTGAAATATAAAATTCCTCACTGTAAATGCCATAGTCTGTTATAAAAATTAATGTAAATTATATGTCCATCAATGTAAATCTTCCCTCGTCTATTATTTTTTTACTTCATTCATCCATTTTAACAGCATATCAGACCACTATTTGACCGTCCTTCATTTTAGGCCCTAAATTTCAGACTATTGCTGTCTCCAGAGGCAGCCTTTCTCTGAAGCTTCACCTCTCTGTAATATATACAATGACCTCCCAACCC